TCTGGTCAAGTGGAATTTGTGGTGGACAAAGTGGTGCTGAGGCAGGTTTTCTCTGAGTACTTCGGTTTCCCCTGCCAATCTTCATTCCACCAATTGCTCCACAACCCTCACCTATCATCTGGGGCTGGTACAATAGGCCAGAAGTGGCCGCAGTACAAGGGATTTAGTCCCACCCCACTAGCAATAAAAAAATGTATCTATCTATTTTTTTCACTTTCTTAATCCCATACAGGATCGGTAGGATTCCTTGGACGGAGGATCAGCCCGTCGCAAGACCACTACCTACACACAGAACAACACAAACACAGAATAAAAGTAAACAGACATCCATGCCTTGAGTGTGATTCTTATCCACGATCCAAATATCCGGGGGAACGAAGATTGTTCATGCCTTAGACCGCACGGCCATTGTGGTAAATTGAAGTATTCCTCATGCGTCACACCTGAAGGCATCTGTTCAGTCCTCAGCTTGTGTATGGTTTCGAAGTAATGGCAGAAACTGCATTTTCTGCAAAACTGTTTCTGAAATCAGAATTTAAGTGCTTCTCCATTCTGTGTAATCGACAAGAAGACAGGCCTTAAAGGTTCGGCCACACAGAGCGCTACGTAACGCTATGTTCGCTATACGAACAGAAAAATATCTCCCTTTATTGCCAATGTGACTGGCCACACAGACTTCCGTACGCTACGTACGCTATGTTCCCTGTGTTAGCTGCGTCGCAGAGTGTACATAGCGTACGTAGCGAACATAGCGTAGGGCTCTGTGTGGCCGAACCTTAACAGTTGCATCATCTGATATGTTTTTGCTCCTACGTGATCACATTTACTTCTTGACGGACTGGGCACGTAAGCTACGGTAAATCCGTACGTTGAAAAGGGAGTCACGGCTGCACGAAACCTTCAATTGGCTTGCGGCGCCAGATGTTAGAATAAACAAAAATTTTTGGGAAGAACGGACCGCATAGAAAACTACGCGTCCAGCAATTCTTCTATTGCTGCAACTATGATGGGTCCGCATACAGACACACAGACTTATGAGAGGGGCTTTCGTGTGCGCCTTGGAGATGGGTTCACTTGCTATGATCTACATAACAAATTTCATAAACATTGAAGAAAGCAGTCTTCTGGGATTTGGCACCGTGTATATGTGGTGTTAACCGACGTTTCGGAGGAACGTATCGCCTCCATCTTATATATAAGAATATAAGAAATCCGCAAGCGAAGAGACCGTGAGAACCGGTAAAAGCAGTCTGATTTGAGGGGCCGCACTTTGTGGCTACGCGGGCCGCATGTTTGACTCGGCTGCTGTAGATAGTAAAGTTGGAGACATATCGAGGTACTTTACTTACTGGGCGCAAGAATTTGGATTGAAGTCTTTTAATTATTTTTGTGTTTTATGGTTTTATACGGCCCCATATCTGTATACCATATGTCCATATGAGTTTTATCATACACTTATATAGTAGAAGTTTGTTTTCTATGGAGAACTTGGATTTACTGTCCAAAAACCAGGACATTTTGCTTAGTTTTGACGTGTTTCTGCCATATCATTTTCTGGTCGAGGTATAATCCCAAGTATTTTAGTTCGGTTTTGACCGGTATTTTCATATTACTGATAGTAACCTGCGGGCAAGTTATAAGTTTCGTGATGAATGTAACTTGCACTGATTTGTCTGGTTTATTGGTTTATTTTGATTTCGCATTTGCTGTACCATTGCTCTGACCGCCTCTGTGGCCTAGTGTTCAGATTTTTTTTTAATTGGCTTAGTGGGTAGTGGAGTCCAACCGGGTCCACTCTGCACGGCGGCCACTGATTGGCCTATTGTAGCCTGCCCCGGGTGATTATGATGATGGAGAATTTGGCGAAATGAAGATTGGCAAGGGAAACCGAAGTACTCGGAGAAAACCCGCCTCAGCGCCACATTGTCCACCACAAATCCCACTTGACCAGACCCGGGATCGGACCCGGGACGCCACAGTGGAAGCCAGCGACTAACCGCTTGAGCTATGGCGCGGCCATTAATGTTCAGAATTACTGGCTGCAGATCCAGAGGTCCCGGGTTCGATTGCCGGCGCTACCAGATTTTCTGAGAAATAATGGGTCTGAAACGGGGTCCACTCAGCCTCATGAGTATAACTGAGGAGCTACTTAATTGGAGAAGAAGCTGCTCCGGTCTAGAAAAAACGAGGTTAACGGCCGTGGGAATCCTTTGCGCTGACCACGCGACATCATCTGTCCGCTAAAGTTGGCACTAACTTCGCCGAAAAGCGGTGGTCGCTCGGTAAGTATAGTTCGCTTGCGGACTAAAGCCACGATTTTTTTAGGGTACATTGTTCTAGGAGGTTTAAGTGATGTTGAAGATATTGTGATGTTACTACTGGATTTTTATTTGCTGCTAGCAGGGCTGTGCCTTCCGCGAAGGTTGCGATTGTAGTGCTGTTTGTTGTAGGCAAATCTGCTGTATAAAGTACAGTAGAGGCCCTGTCACGCTTCCTTGCGGTACACCTGACTTAACCTGGTAGAAATCTGAACGTGAATTGTTCGTATTTGAAAATGTTTTAGTATGGGGTGGGGGATGTACGAGTATTTTTGAATTTATATAGTAGTCCCACCAAGATAGCATCTTTCGCTGATGACGTGGCTCTCGTAGCTATTAGCGAAAATCCGCTAACAGCGTCTCAAAACCTGCAAAATCACCTTAATTTACTCAGCGACTCGTACACTGCTTGGCGAACAACCGTTAATCAAAGGAAGTCTGTCCAGATAACATTCACCACGAGACACGAAATGTGCTCACAAGAAACAATGAACAACTTGCAAATGCCTACAGCCACAGAAACAAAGTATCTCGGCCTGCACTTCGATCAAAGACTCACTTGGAGAAAATACATCCAAACTAAAAGAAAACAACTTGACATGAAATACCGTCAAATGTATTGGCTTTTCAATAGAAAATCAAAGTTCTCTATGACTAACAAAATACTACTATACAAAGCTATATTGAAACCTGTTTGGTCCTATGGTCTTCAACTCTGGGGATGTGCAAAGCCGTCGATAATCAATCTCATCCAGAAATTCCAATCAAAAACATTAAGAGCAATTGCAGACGCGCCATGGTATGTGAGCAAACTTACACTCCATAACGACCTAAAGATATCCTTCGTCAAAAATGAAATACTAAGAATGGCTGAAAGGTACAAAAACCAAACTGTAAACCATGACAACGAATTAATAGAAGAGCTATACATCAACGATCCAGTGACAAGAAGACTGAACAGAACATGGCCCCAGGACATCAGCACTCAATGAAATAGACTACATGTAGGAGAAATATCACTTGATGTTTCCCTTGCAAGTTAACCACCTACAACACATTTACTTAATACTCTGTAATGATGTAGATTGTAAAGAAGCATACAAACGCCTGAGCTACGTCAAGGAAATGTTTTTCCTTCGAGGCTTGTTCCGATCTTGTTTACGGTTTTATGCGTTTGTTGTACTGTGGAGTGTTCTTCCCTGAATCCAAATTCGTAATCGGGAATAACAGTTGACTGGTCTAGGTTATTTCTAATTCTCTTCAATAGTAACTTTCCAAAAAGCTTCGATGTGACCGGCAGCAAACTAATCGGCCGATAAGAATTTCCTTCATTTGCTGCTTTCCCAGGTTTAGGTATCATTATGATCTAGGCGAATTTCCACATAACTGGGTAGTACGGCATTCTGAGCATGCTGCTACAGATGGTTGCTAGCAATACTAATGCTTTTCTTGGCAGCTCTCTGAGTATTTTTCTTGTGATAAGGTCATAACCGGGTGTTTTGTACGGGTTTATGTTCTTAATTTCTTGTACTATTACTTATGTAGGTAAGAAAGATTTGATAGGTAACGACATTTGACATGTTATTTCCAGGAAGTCTTCAATTTCACTCTCATTATGATTATGATGAACGTGGTGTAAAATACCTGTTCAAGATGTTCCGCGAACTTTGTGGCACTTTGCCCAGCTCCTGCCCTCTTTTCTTACCTACCGTATCGGGTCTTTTGAACTCCTTTGTTGCCTTACAGATTGTGTGGTCATCTTCAGAGAGAGACACGATAGTGTCCCAATGTTAAGGCGTTATGTAGTTTCATCTAAATCTGTTACAAATAAGCCTGCCATCATTGTTTGTTGCTCTCTGCCATCTGCTTCCTGCTCTGCCTGCAACCTTTTCTATGCGTTGTATGATACTGAGGGCTCTTTACAATTCGAGATACTTCAATGAATTCGAAACAAAGGAGAAACAAATTCCGTGGCCTGTAGTCTACAAGCGAACTATAGCGATCGAGCGACAGCCAACTTTAGAGGATAGAGGGTGTCGCGTACTCAGCGCAACGAATACCCACGGCCGTTAATTTCGGTTTTCTAGACCGGAGCCGCTACTTTTCCATTCAAATAGCTCCTCAGTTATCCTCACGAGGCTGAGTGGACCCCGTTCCAGACCCACTATTTCTAAAAAAATCTGATAGCGCCGGAAATCGAACTCGGGATCTCTGAATCTGTAGCCAGGAACTGTGACCACTAGACCACAGAGACGGTATCAATTGGAAACAAGGTAGAAGAATTGTTGAACAATTCTGTCTTCTGGGATATAACTCCATGTAGTACGTTGAAAGTGAACTGACATATCGAAAGGACATGTCTCCATCTTCAGGACCAAGAATAAACCAGCTTAAGCCAGGTAGCAAGCAGAGCACCTGAGATCCTATTGCAGAACTGGTGTTCAGTAATACTACATGCTCCGCAAACCTCATCATACGGCAGTTAAATGTGAAACAGTTCGTGTCACTGCGCGAGTGTCGCCACGCGCATGTCACAGCTTTGTCGCAGGTGACTAAGGAGGATGCGCTCACAGAGACAAACCCCCACCGATGTCACCCGTGTGTCCCCAGCTGTCATGCGCAACCCCTTCACTCCCTTTGGAGGACAACGACACTTTTTTCTTATAATGTTTGTCTTTGCAGTATCCTCCAACGATCTGGTTGGTTCCTGGGTTTCAAAGGGTGGAGCTTACACGGACTTGCAATGACATCACGACACTTGTCATCAAATCCGCTGGTCTTCATCCCAAGGTAGGACAACCCCATAAAATGGCTACTAAATGTATTCCTGTTACGACTTGCAGGTGTAAAACACAGATGCAGAAGAATTTGAACTTGAGAGCGAAGACCTCCTTTCAACATAGCCAACACAAGCGTATGTTAGTAATACTGCCGTATAGTTTACTCGTTTTATTTTAGAAGAAACAGAACATTGCAAGTGAAGTAAGGTCTAATAATTTGTAACGATGGTGCATCAGTACGACCGCCTCTGTGGTCTAGTGGCCGGAGTTCGTGGCTGTAGGTCCAGAGGTCCAGGTTCGATTCCCGGCGCTATCAGATTTTCTGAGAAGTAATGGGTCTGGAACGGGGTCGACTCAGCCTCGTGAGGTTAATTGAGGAGCTATTACAAAGAGATAGCGGCTCCGGTCTAGAAAACCGAAATTAACGACAGTGGGGATTTTTTTATTGTAGAAAAAATACTGTAAATACAGAAAGGCCTAGGCAATGCCCATCCGGCCTTCTGCAGCACATTCTTATAAATATCTTATTCTATAATTGCGGTCACCCCGCGTTTCTTTATATAGATCTTAACTAAAATCTGAGAGTTACTGTTAATAATCAGTACAATCACTTCTTTTACTTTTCTTACACATTCATTTTATATAAATATAGGAATATTGTGTAAGAAGTAACAGACGCATTGCATAAATCTTTTTTCTTCTAGCCTTAAGAGTTCTATAACTGACTTTGGGTATTCTTTTTTGCTGTTCTCAGACAAAATGTCCATGAGTGTTGCCCTTTGGCCCTCGTACCGTTTACAGTCCCGGAGGATATGTTCCTCCGTTTGCAGCCTGTCACCACATTACCATTCGGCCATGGGCATGGGGATTCATTGCGCTGAGCACGCAACACCCTCTATCCGCTAAAGTTGGCACTAACTTCGCTGACAAGCGGCGGTGGCTCGGTCGGTATACTTCGCTTGTGGACTAGAACCACGGAGATCGTTTGGTACATTAGTACAAATATTATGTTTGTGGACATTATCCATCTTCCTGTTCTTGTCTAAAATCACGGTCCTGTTTATCTTTCAAAACACAACCTTTCGAAGACTGGGTCATGTCACCGTCTTCAGGTGATATCTACTCAGTTTGGCCCCCTACAAGTTACCGCTACATGAGCCCACTCTTTACAGCGGCCGTAGGGCTATAGACCAGGGTGTACATGAAGCTCCAGGGATAGCGTTTCCAAGTTTCTGCTACAAACATTTTAAATAAAATCTTTCACAGGATTTATGACCTGTAAAAAAGCCAGCCGATCACATTGGGCGCGGTCTAAGGCATGAATCGTGTTCGCTCCCTCGAACACTGAGATCGTGGTTTCATTCTGTGTTTGTGTTGTTCTGTGTGTAGGTAGAGGCCTTGCGACGGGCTGATCCCCCGTTCGAGGAGTCCACCGATTGTGTATAGGATTAAGAAACTGAAAAGAGGCCGAGTTCCACAAGGGTTGCAGAGCCAGAGAGAGAGAGAAAGAATGTAAGAAGCGACCATAATCGATGTAATTAGACATTCGTTACCCAGCACGAGATCCGTGAGTTCTTCCCGTTATGATTCATGTGGGGCTTATGGAGAAAATTTCTATTTGGAGAGAATATTCTTTTAGTACTAAGTTCGATTTCCCTTTCCAATATTTTTATGCGTTTTCTGCACTAATTTTCTGCATGGATGGACAGTCGATCTGGCCATTGGGAAAACATTCATTACGTTCTGTGTACGTATTCACTTGTTGAGTCGGCACTGGAGTTTGAACATGACTAACAGTGAAAGCAGGCTGAGAAGACTAAGAGTGGAGTGATTTGTAGTGTGGAAATCAGCAGTAGTGTTATAACTACATGTAGTTCCGAGTGATGTGTAGAAGTGGTAATAAATTCAACCACCAATTCATAACCCGTGTATAGTCACATCAAAAATAACTGCCAACATAAAAAATATAAGTTCTGAGTAAAAAGTATGTTGCCCTTATGCTTAATTAATTAAACACCGTAACATGAAGGTATATGGGGAAGAGAGATATAGCTCTACCCTTCTTGACCTCAACACTAGACGAATGTTAGTGGTCAGCTTCACTTCCCGGCCACTTTACCCCAGCGGAAAATTTCCCCGATACCTATTGTATAGGAGACTGGGTGGTCCCAAAATGCTGTGGAGAGAAGAAAAGTTTTGACCCTGCCGTGAATCGAAACCCCACCCATCCACCCCATAATCAGTCGCTATACCGACCGAGATATCCCTGCTGTAATGTCATGTCTCGTTTCCTGTTTTCTTCTCTTAATTTCAATCCCCGATCATTAAAGGTAAGTGTTCATACGTCACACAGTTGCTGCGCCGAGTAAGATGATCCGATCACTCTAATTTATACTTGGCGTTTTCGTGTCGTAGCTACGTCACAGGTGAAAGAGGCGTGACAGCCCGTGTCTGGAAATATCACGGCATGTCTCCCCCAATCTCGAAGATTGAACTCGCCCATGACTGACATGAAAATGTGGAAAACAACAATGGCGCAAACGAATTTATAGTCGTGAATAAGACATTATCTTCATTTGAAATCTTGTAATTAACCCCTCTGCTTGTTACACTTCGCATATATAAAACACATGTAGTTATATAGATACATCTGTGTTGGGGCGGAACTCAAATATCAGTGATCACGCGAAATTGGTTGAGTTGTCTCTGAACTGCTATCCCGCTGTGTGGTGGGACTCCAGTGTTTTGTTAACGCTCCATAACAATTGAAAACGCAGCAGGGAAAAAAGTGGATGCGATAAAGACAACAGAAGTACAGCGTGTTCCATTTAAACTTTTATTTTGCGCAGCTGCCCTATATATATCCACAGAAATTTCCCTTTCCACATTGCTTTAGTCGATTTGTGGTAAACATAGGTTTATAAAGCTCCAGCCTATTATAAGGGGCACTCAGTAGCTTAGATGGTTGAGGCACTATGCTACAAGCCGGAAGGTCGCGGGTTCGAATTAGCCGCAATACAAGGGACTTGGTCCCACCCCACTAGCAACAAAAAAAAAATACAAATTTCAGGTCCTGCTTTGAAACTGACACGTAGATGAAGTGAATAGCACTTCCTTGTCTTACAGTTGTAGATACAATTGTACACCGACGCTCCAATAGATGACTTGAAACAGCTGATCTGCGTCATAGCAAGACGTCGTCCTTGTATATGTCAGTCATATTTGCAATTTTAAATTGGTCTGCTTGTTATCTGCTCCACATTTGTTTCTTCCTTATCTTACTCTTCCAGCCTGAAGATGATAGCGCATGTCGGCCCAAATGTCCGTTGACTTTCATCGGACTGCATAACATTAGGATCCCAAAAGAGAGAATTCTTCTTAACTACCGCTGTGAGAACCTAAAAATTCACATTTGTAGTTGATCAGTACGTATTGTAGATAAAGGAAAAGTTATCTTTTTGCTTAGTTAGTTAAAATACGCAATGAAGACGGAAGTGGAGGTATAGCTCCACCTTTCTTAATCTCGGTACTACATGGAGGTGAAAGGTCAGCTTCATGCCCCGGGTATTTTATCCCGGCGAAAAAATATCCTCAGTGCGGACAGGCTGGCTTCAGATTTGGTATAGATTCTGCGGAGATGAGAAAAATCTTGCACTGCCGGGAATCAAACCCGGATCATCCAGTTCATAGCCCGCTGCTATACCCACTGAGCTATCCAGACTTCAAGTATGATCAATAATCGAAGCATATTATACAAATTGAACCGATGTTGTAACAGCATTCTACTCTGTAAGTTAATTAGAGTATATATGAGACCTTAAGCCGATCGCAGTCGCCGCGAGGCCTAAGGCATGAACCGCCTTCGCCCTCTCGAACACGAAAATCATGGGTTCGAATCCCGCTGAAAGCATGGATATGTGTGTGTGCGTTTTCTCTGTGTTTATATGTTGTATGTATAAGTAGCGGCCTTGCGACGGGCAGATCCCCCGTCCAAGGAGTCCTACAGACTGTACGTGATTAAGAAACTGTTAAGAAGCCAAGGCCCAATAAAGGGCTGTAGAGTGGTAAGTAGATGGCAGGTTGGACCTGAACCCGTCTGTTTACTGCACTGGCTAAATCACCTCTACACCTGCCACTTTCAGTTGAGGCTTCCCAATCTCTCCAAACAAACCCCATTGCCTCTCCTTTTATGGACTTCACAGTGTGTATACTCAAATTTACCTAATTACACGGCTTACCGCATGAAACAGAGTCTTTCTTCAGCTGCCCAAAGTACAGATCCCATTATCGTGCTCACAAGAGATTGTCATCGGTCCCTGTCACTAGCCAGATGAATCCATTCCATAACATTCTCACCTATTTCTTTCAGATCTACTTCAATAGAATTCTCTCATCTACGCTTAGGTCTTGCCTGTATGTGTTCTGACAAACTGTTTGTGCGCATTCTCGTCTCTTTTTTCCGTGCTACATTCCCTGATAATCTCACATTTCTTGTACGTCAAATTAATGGTTGGCTAAAAATAGAGAATTTAAACCCCTTCATCATCTAAAGCTCTTCACTCTCTTAGATTCAGATGCTCTTCTCAAGACTCTGTTTTCAGACAATTTGTTCACTTAATGTGAGGTACCAAGTTTCACAGCCATACTAAACAACAGGTAAAAGTATAGTTTCGTTCACGTATTTACATACAGTAAGACCATGGACGGCGTGGACTGTCTTCGTTCGCCCGGAAGACGGGATCGTGGGTTCGAATCCCACTCAGGGCATGGATATTCAGTTTCTTTGTGTGCGTTTTTCTGTGTTTGTGTACAGGTAGAGGCCTTGCGACGAGCTGATCTCCCGCCCAAGGAGTCCTACCGAATGTGTAAGGTCTAGAAAAACCGAAGTGAACGGAGACGTTCATGGAGGTAGGCCTAGGCCCACTGGAGCTGTAGTGCCAGGGACAAAAAAAAAAAAAGACCAGGGCCAGCTCAGTCGATATGACAACTGGTTACGGGCTGGCCGGCCGG